CCCGAACTATGTCCCACCCACCCCAATTTGAACCCCTAAAAACAAGTTTGACAGTGTAAGGTACCATGGTAAACTTAGATCCGAGCAAGTTGAATGACTTTTTTAAGCAAAATTTACAGATGTTTGAGGCTTTTTATACAGGTAAAAGTCTGAAGAGGTTGACATGTATGGGACAACAAAATACAGACTTGTTGTTATTGAGTTTGTCAACATGAACCGCTACCTGAGAGGCACTACTAGCCCCTCCCCTGTCAGAGTGTCAGAGCAGGATGAGTCACTGCAAGGTCAATCAAATGAGAGAGTGGTTTGAGGCGTTTGCTGCATGGGGGGGCTGTTTTATGGGTAGAGTAGTTTATTTTTCCTGTAATACTTCATTATAGTTTTTTTTTAAGACAAAGCTAATTGAAAGGGGCGCTGAGCAGAGTTACAACCAGGGATTACAAAAAATTACTTTTTTCTTCTGCAGTTCGGTGCCCCCTCCAGCAGATGGCGCTCTAGGCGACCGCCTAGTTCGCCTATGCCAAGAGCCGGCTCTGATTCCCATCCCTACTCTCCATGCATGCGTGTGTTTGCTCTGAGTCTTTTGGTTTCCTCCCACAGAACAAAAACATGTTAAGCTAATTGGTAATTCTAAATTGTCCCTGGGTGTGAGTGAGAAAGCGAATGATTGTCTCTATGTGGTCCTGTGATGGACTTGTGGCTGCTGGGCACCAGAGACCCCCGTGACCCTGAAGAAGCAGGTAAAGATGATGGATGGATGTATGTATGTATGGATGGATGGATGGATGGATGGATGGATGGATGGATGGATGGATGGATGGATGGATTAAATGTTTTGTTTTATTTTAGGTACTCAAAATCTTGAAAGTAAAATGTTTTTTGCAACTGGAAGATAGACATGTCCTTGTAAAAATGTGAACAAACTGTTTTGATTGTCATTAAACTTGTTTGCCACAATGCGAAGGCACTGCTTATAAGGTTGAGTTTACCTGAAACTCCTCAGAAGTTCCTTAGAGAGACGAAAAATTTCATTAAAGAAGAACCTGTCCAGAGGACCTACTTACTGTTTTTTTTTATACCTGGATTACTGAGATACATTGACACGTCCTTGTACTCCCAAGTACTTTATTACATTTCCTGCTATGCTAAAGGTAAATGCTCTGCCTCTTGATAAAAATTTTAGTTGGGGATGTTGCTCTCATCCATGTTCTTTGATTTGTCCGACACTGACCTCTGGTGACGGAAATAAGAGGCGCAGTGGGCGGAGCTTCTTTAAATCCATCAGCTCGAGCTCAGCTCTCTGGAGGCGGACAGCAGCAGGAACCGTTCCGAGCTTGTCTTTGGGACACTTTAATACCACTGATATTAATTTCAGAAGACATAACAACATGTCATTCTGTCAGTTTCTTGGCGGGGAGCGCTACAAGGATAATTTTAAACCAGGTGAGACAGAGGGCGGATGTGACGTCACCTCAGACTGGATTAGCACGTTCATTGTGGGCTTTGAGCCTCTTTTCAGCTGTAACTTTAAGCCTTTTCTAATTTTAGTGGTAAGTGATAGAAACTTTGTTGGAGCAGCAAWATAAAACCTGTAAATTAAAACTAAGATGATAATTAGAAGTAGCTTTCCTTCAGTTTTGTTAATTTAAAAACTGATTAAAAATAATATCTCAAATAATACTGCAATCATATTT